AAATGGGATGGGCTAGGATTTAGAAAGGAAAAACTGTGAGGGATAGGACATGCAATGTGGGTTGGCACCTTCTAGCCAAAGAGGTCAAATGGGGGGTTTTGAGAAACAGGACACCTGTCCCTAGATGCAATTTGTCCCAATCTGGAAGGTGTCTGGATTTAGAGCACCTGATGTGCAAGGAATTCTTTTGGGCCCAGAGGGCAGCTGGAATCAGCAAGCTGGTTATGGAAGTCGTTTCTGCTTACCCAAAGTTGGCTGGCGGTAGTCCACCTAGCTGGTCTGCTGAGGTGGAGTTCATGTACCTTTAGACTCTGAGTGGGTGTGTGCCCAGCAACTTAGGTCGAGCAAAGAAGTTCAGTTGTTTGGTCATTAGTTACCAGTGTTCATGTTTGTGCAGGCTGTTCTGGGAGAGTGGACTTGATTATCGGGTTGCTGTACTGATGGGACACAGCTTGTAAAAGTTCAAAATGATCATGCTGTGTCAGGTTGATGGACAATTCATCTGCCAAGTCTGTCTCCTTTTTCATTGCTTTTTTCCCCTGGTCTTTTCCCTAGTTGGTGTTAAATTCATTTTTCTATGTTCTGAAGCTCAGAGTTCTAGGATTATCATTTGTATCTATTTTACATGGTCTCCCATGTCTTTGGTGTAGAGGATCTGGGTAGAGTATCTCCCTAGTCCTCCATCTTGCTGGAACATATGCCTTTCAAATAAAAATATTAATTTATCAAAACAGAAATTGTAATGAGAACTGAGTCGACAGGTGTCTGTGTCAGATCTCAGTATTTCCATCATTAATGGATAGAAATTTGCTTATAAACCTTCTGTCTATCCACTTCCTCACCAGTACTCCCCCTCAAAAGCATATCCATGACCCAATACTGTGATGATTACAGTCACAGGCAGATGATCTGAGAGAGCCCATTGACTTCAAGCTAGCACGTTAGATCTAACACAGAGGAGCGCTGCTGTGGGGACGATTGCATACTGAACTCCCCACCCTTCCCGATTCCCTGAGGGATCAGCATTTACAAATAAGGGAGACTATAACGGATCAACAGCCCAAATAATGAATCTGCCTAAAGGTATGTGAACTAGCAAGGAAAATATGAATGTAGGTTCTTAGTTTTGATGAAGTATAATTTATCATTCACTTTATTAGTAACGTTTTGACCATTACAAAGTCATAGATATTATTTTACACTTTCTTTTAGAAATTGTATGTTTTACTTTATCATGGTTTACCTTTCGTGGACCTGTTTACACTTTCCCTGTCCCTTTGAGATAGTTTCCCTAAAAGAGATTTTGTCATGTGGTGACCCTGTATCTCAGTGTATTTTCTTTCTCCTCTGGTGGGAACCAAAGAAGCCCTGGTGGCCCGGTGAGTGAAACTTTGATTGCTTACCCAACGGGATTTGAACCCTTCAGCTGCTCTGGGGGAGAGTGATACAAGTCTGCTTGTGTAAAGATAGACAGCCTGGGAAGCTCTGTAGACCAGTTCTTAATCAGCGAATGATTTATAATTGTTTAGAATTTCTTATTTTCCCTTATGTTAGTTTTTTATTCATACATGTTTTTAACTACTAGGTTAAAACACATAGAAGGTTCAGTATGAATCCCTGAATTTGAAAATGTTATTGTTAACAGCCACTTTTATAATTTCCTAGATAATGTAGGAGCCCTGATGGCATAATGGTTATGCATTGGGCTGCCAATCCAAAGGTTAGCAGTTTGAAAGCAGCAGTTGCTTCACAGGAGAAAGATAAGGCTGTTTACTTCCATAAAGAGTTACCATCTTGGAAACTCACAGGGGCAGGTCTAGTCTGCCCTATAGAGTCATTGTGCATTGGAATCAACTTGATGGCAGTGAATTTGGTTTGAGATAATTCAAGGATATGAGGATATTATAATTTGGACATATTGATTTTTTCATTTTTATAACCTTACATTTATTTATTTACTTTTAATTAATTATTTTATTGGGGGCTCTTACAGCTCTTATAACAATTCATACATCAATTGTATCAAACACATTTGTACATATGTTGCCACCATCATTTCCAGGAGATTTTCTTTCTACTTGAGCCCTTGGTATCAGCTCCTCTTTTTTCCCCTCCATTTCCCACCCTCCCACCATCGTGAACCCTTGATAATTTATAAATTATTTTCATATTTTACACCATCCTCTGTCTCCCTTCATCAATGTTTCCTTGTTTTTCCCCTTGGGGTGGGGGTGGGAGGGTTGTACTATCATTGTGATTAATTACTCCTTTCACCCTCTTCTCTCCCACCTTCTGCCTAACCTCATTGTATTGCTACTCTCATCATTGGTCCTTAGGGGTTTATCTGTCCTGGATTCCGTGTGTTGAGAGCTCTTATCTGCACTAGTGTACATGCTCCAATCTAGCTGGATTTGTAAGGTAGGACTGGGGTCATGGTAGTAGAGAGGAGGAAGCATTAAAGAAAATGTGTGTTTCATTGGTGCTATACTGCATCCTGGCTGGATCTTCCCTTCCTTTTGACCCTTCTGTGAGGGGAAGGCCAATTACCTACAGATGGGAGTTGGGTCTCCATCCAACACCCCTCGTTTGCATCAAAATGGTTGTTCATTTTGGGTCTTCTAGTTAATTTGGACATCTTAATTTCATCTACTTTTAGAACCTAAAATAAATTGTTGTTGCTTTGTATAACCATTATTACTTAGATTTACTCATATATTTACTCTTTCTATTGATCTTTATCCCTTTATGGATACCCTTGATTCTATTTGGAATTAATTTGTTGTGCTACCATGAATTATTTCAGGTCTTATTTAGCTGAAACATCTTTAGTTTGCTTTATCATTGGATAAAATATGCTGTGTTTATGTAATCCAAGGTTGGAAGCTAATTCCTTTCAAAAATTAGGAAATATAATTTTGTTTTCTTTGTCTTCCAACAACTTTGTTCCCTGGTGGCACTGTGGGTTAAGAGTTGGGCTGCTTAATCAAGTACTCCCTCAACACAACAACACTTGGTTCTAATAATCTGGCACTCTGAGATGCTCACCTTTCCAACACAATTGCTGAAGACAAAGCGGGTGCATAAGCAAATGTGGTAAAGAAAGCTGATGGTGCCTGGCTATCAAAAGCTATAGTGTCTGGGCTCTTAAAGGATTGAAGATAAATAACCAGCTCAGAAGCAACAAAGCCCACATGGAAGAAGCACACCAGCTTGTGTGACCACCAGTTGTCAAAAGGATCAGGTATCAGGCATCAAAGAACAAAAAAACATATCATTGCCAATGAGGTGGAATGCAGAGTAGGGACCAAAAACCCATCTGTAGGCAACTGAAAATCCCCTTACAGAAGGGTCACAGGGAGGAGATGAGGCAGACAGGGTGCAGTGTAGCAACGATAACACATACAAATTTCCTCTAGTTCTTAAATGCTTCCCTCCTACTCCCCCAACTATCATGATCCCAATTCTACCTTACAAATCTGGCTAGACCAGAGGATGTACACTGGTACAGATAAGAACTGGAAACACAGGTAATCCAGGACAGATGATCTCTTCAGGACTAGTGGTGAGAGTGGCGATACCGGGAGGGTGCAGAGAAGAGGGGAAAAAGGGGGAATACATTACTAGGATCTACATATAACCTCCTCCCTGGGGGACGGACAACAGAAAAGTGGTTGAAAGGAGACGCCGGACAGTGTAAGATATGACAAAATAATAATTTATAAATTATCAAGAGTTCATGAGGGAGGGGGGAGCAGGAAGACAGGGGAAAAAATGAGGATCTGCTACCAAGGATTCAAGTAGAAAGCAAATGTTTTGAGAATGATGATGGCAACAAATGTATAAGTGTGCTTGACACAATGGATGGATGTATGAATTGTGATCAGAGTTGTACAAGCCCCCAATAAAATTATTAAATAAAAAAAAGAATTAAACCTAAAAATAAAAAGAGTTAGGCTGCTAATCACAAGGTCAATAGTTCAAACCCACCAACCTCTTCATAGGAGAATCATGTTTGTGTTCAAAAAGATATACAGTCTTAGAAACTTTAAGGACTAATTCTACTCTATCTTATAGGGTTGCTATGAGTCAGAATTGATTCAAAGCAGTGAGTTTTTATCCTGCTCCACTCACTTATATTTCTTGCTGGATATCTAGGTATTTGAATTTATGACCCATGTTGGAATATTTTAGCCATAAAAGGGAGAAAAAGTTAGAAGTTCTGCTCTCAAAGAAAAACATAAAAATAATATTCATATAAAGTAATTAATTAGGGTTTTGATAAATACTTGAAGAAAAAATGACAGGATGCTAAGAAACATGTTACAAATATTTATGGGAGTGAGAGAAGATTGATCTCCAGGAATGGGTACTTACGTTGAGGTCTGAACATAATAGAAATCAGACAGATGATTAAATGGGGTGTATGGGCATCATACAGGGTTGTAGGGTGAATATTTAAGGAGAGAAAACAGCACATGAGTCAAGTCAGGGTGAGTTGGGCAAGTTTGAAAGTACAAAGAAAGCCCCTATAGCTGGAACCCAGCAAGGGGATGGGGTTGTCTGGAAAATACACCCAAACGGAATATGTGTACATGGTATAGGATGGTGCTGTAGAGCATGTCGCTAAGAAGGATCAATCACTTATCTTACTTTCACTTGATGATATAAATGGGCCCTTTTGATTCTTCTGGTTGAAATAATCCATCACTATGTGCAATAAAGTTGTTCATTATGAAGCTTTTAGCTAAAGTTTAACCAGATTGGTAGGTACTGATGTAGTATAATGATATAGTATAATGATGTAGTATACTGCTGTAGTATACTGCTGTAGTATAATGATGTAGTATACTGATGTAGTATACTGCTGTAGTATACTGATGTAGTATAATGATGTAGTATGATGTAGTATAATGATGTAGGATAATGTAGTATCATGATGTAGTATCCTGATGTAGTATAATGAAACATTGTGAAATTAATTTCTGTGCATGTCTTTCCAGCTGCCAGAGTCCACTGCTTGAAAAAGTGTGGGAAGCGGACTTGGAAGCTTGTCGGCTCTTTATCGAGAGCATGCAGCTGGAGGAGGCCAGGTGCGGCTTGAGTGTAGAAGACGAGAGGCTAACAGGTGACGTGGAGGACACTGCCTTTATGACTCCCATCGTCCGACCACCTGGGCTTCTCTCAGAAGATGGAAAGAAGACTGCTTTGCAGGCCAATGATGAGTGGAAGGCTCCGTGGAGCCCCTCTCCTCACTTTGCTGGCAGCATGCAGAAAGAGGTATCTCTCATTTTCTTACAGACTTTGTAGATGGCCTCCCTGAAAAGACTAGATTCCAAATGGGAGAAGGACCTATTGAATAGGTGTTCCATTTCACCATAGAACTTTTAAGAGTTCATAACTTTTGAATGTGGTTATAAAATAATGCAAATATTTTGTCTGGAACATTTTTCATGGTTGGTTTTCATTTGTATGCTAACTCAATGGCAAGAGTTGTAATAGACAATCTAATATGTACTTACTTTACATTTCACAAATTACATATCATACATATGTTAATTATTTAGAATCCATATACTAATATTGTTGTTAGGAGCCATCAGTTTGGTTCTGACTCACAGCAATCCCATAAAGAACAGAATGAAATGCTGCTTGATCCTGCAACACCCTCACAATTGTGGCAATGCTGGAGCCCTTTGTGGCCACCACACTATCAATCTATCTTCTCAAGGGTCTTCCTTATTTTACTTTATTTTATTTTTGCTGAATCTGCTTTATCAGGAAGAGGTCTCGCCAGATTACATGTCCAAAGTATGAAATTACGTCTTGTCATCCTCATTTCTAAGGAGCACTCTGGCTGTACTTCTTCCAAAATGGATTTGTTTGTTCTTCTGGCAGTCCGTGGTTATTTCCATATTCTTCATCAACACCAAAATTTAAATTAATCAATTATTCTTTGGACTTTCATGTTCCTTGTCCCACTTTCCTATGCATATGGGGCAATTGGAAATAACATGACTTGAGTCAAGGACTCCTTAGTCCTCAAAATGCCCTCTTTGCACTTCAGCACTTTTAAAGAGGTCTTGTGCAGAAGATTTGCCGAATGCAATAAGTCATTTAATTTCTTGACCACTGCTTCTATGAGCACTGATGTTGATCCAAGTAAAATGAAATCTTTGACAACATCAATCTTTTTTCCATTTATCATGATGCTGTCTCTTGGTTCAGCTGTATGAATTTGCATTTTCTTTATGCTGAGTTGTAAACATTGTAAACATTTGGTCTTCATCAGCAAGTGCTTCAAGTAAGCCTCGCTTTCAACACATGAGGTTGCATTATCTGAATAGAGCAGGTTGTTAATAAGCCTTTATCCAATCGTGAACTTCTCCCTATCACCCAGTTTCTCTGATCATTCCCTCAGGATATAGATCGAGAGAGGATGGGGGAGGGCCCAACCCTGATGCACACCTTTTCTGATCTTGAACCACACAGTATCTAGCCCCTTGTTCTGTTGGGATGACTACTCTTTCCAGGTCTATGGACAGGTCCTGCAGCTCAATTAACGTGTTCCGGAAGCGCTGTTCTCTACAATGCCTTCCTTCGTGTGCTATAATTCACAAAGCAAAAACCTTGGCAGTGTTAGTAAAACAACAGTAAACATCTTTCTGACATTCTCTGCGTTCAGTGTTACATTATTTTATTCAACCATTTCAACGGGTCTACACAATTATAATTATATAATTAAAATGAGCATCTGATGTTCAGCAATGCTATCCTTCATATCACCTTCTGAATCTAGCTTTCATTTCTGGTAGGTCCTTATCATTATACTACTGAAACCTTTTCAAATTATTCCCAACAAATGTTTACTTGCATGTGATATTAATTACATTGTTTGATAACGTCAGCATTCTATTGGCCTCTTTTCTTTGTAGTGGGCACAGATATGGTTCTCTTCCAGCTGGTTGGAAGAGACAGGTCGCTGTCGTCCAAATATCTTGGCAGAGACTAGTGTGTGTTTTCAGTGTTACATTATTTTATTCAACCATTTCAACGGGTCTACACAATTATAATTATATAATTAAAATGAGGATACTAATATATTTATATATGTTACTGATTATTTTTGCTAAAACAAAATAATAGATTTTGTAATCTCATTTCATTTGAAAAAAATCTAATAATTTGTCTATTATATATACTAAAAATTAAAATACTGATTTACTCAATTCTGAAGACTGATAGAAATTACAGCGAAGGGCTTCTCTCCTCTCTTCCTATCCTATCTCTCTGTAGCTCTTCTTCTCCCTATTTCCCATCTCTAATAATGAAAAGGTCTTGTCAATTAAAATGCCCTTGGGAGTTTTATCCAACTTCAATGCCATCGTTGCAGACTTCGGAGCTGTTTTTCTAGCTTAGTGCCCAGATGTTCTAATATTAAAAGGAAATAAAAGCCCAGTAAGGTGAAAGAATGTGCCACTTCTCCTTTAGATATCAGGTTTGAAGTTGGGTGTATAGACTCCCTTCATCAACTCAATTTAGGATTGTGGAGCAATGTGAGGGCAGTCTCCTCCTCCCTGCCCCTGCCCGTGGCACATGAACCTTCCCCGTCTCTGTCTTCACAGAGCCCAACGCTTGTCAAAGGTGTTATATATACTATTTTCAGTCGCTGCTTTTAGTACTGCCTGGAAATGAATACTTGACTATCTATTTAAATTGCAAAAACTTATAAGAATGGGAGCATGCCACACTCTGGCCCAGGAAAGCTCTGTGGTACATTGAGAAATCAATGACGTGCACTCTTTTTAGTAGAGGTTTTGCAAACTGTCTATGTTTGCAGTTAGAAGACTTGAAAGAGCGTGTCTCCCTAATCTCCCCGAAGCGAGCGCTAGGTGTAGGAACCAGTGAGCCCTTGGTTCTGAGTCTCCACAGGTATGGCTGCTTCTCCAAAGGTGAGCACTTAAGCTTAAAGCCAGGGTACGTGGAATTAGTCAGGATAAGTAATGGAGCTCTGGCCATGACATTGGATCCCCAAGACCAGGATTGATTGATCAGATCCATTGTCAATGAGCAGTCCCCTCCCTCCCTCTCTCTATAACTATATCCCCATGTGTCCATCCACTCTCCCTGGACAATTACTATCTAAGGTATAGGAGGATTGTTCTTCATTCTTAAGACTTCAGGTACTTCTCAAAGAGCAAATTTTGGCTTCTGTTAAAAATTAAAGCAAAGAGTTTACTGAAGGAACAAAATAACCAAGAATCAGGCAGCATTTTGTGAAGATTCACCAAAACTCTGCAGTGAAAGTAATTCTTCACAGACCTTAAATACAGAAGAACTAGCAGTGTAGGGTGAAAATATTCTAACTGGTTGATAGCATGCTTTAATGGACACAACTGGTTAAAGCATGCTTTAATGGACACAAGACAATAACAAGAGTCCTTAAACTTTATTTATGAAGTTGGACTCACTTGACAGCTTAACTTGTGGATATTATAGGGGCCAGTCTGAGAGAATGCTCACCCTGGGAGCACGATGTGGGGAGAATGGAGGGAAGAGCCTTCAGGCTTCCTGCCTGTGCTAGTTAGCTGAGTTTCAAAGGATAGCTCAGAATAAGCAATAAACAGCAAAAGTGGAGTCTGGCCTTTATCTTTGGTGGAAGTATCTCATTAGACTGAGCACCTAATACTTCTGAGCTCCTTCACAATCTCCACTTCTGATAAAAATTTTCAATAGAAATTTGTTGATCACAATTTGAAGAGTAGAGTGCTCTGTTGGCATAGTGGGTTATACATTGGGCTGCTAACCTTAAGGTCAGCAGTTCAAAACTACCAGCTGTTCCACAAGAAAAAGACAAGGTTGGTAAAGAGTTACAGTCTTAGAAACCAACAGAGGCAGTTCTACCCTGGCCTATAAAGTATCTATGATCTAGAATCGACTAAACGGCAGCGGGTTTGGTTTCTTCTGGGAGCATCTTCTCCCCATGGGTTCACCAAGCCCTTCATCTTGATATGCGTAGAGCCTCATCTTCAGAAGGACCAGGGCTCATATTGCCTGCAAAAGAGATCTCGCCTTCTGCGAGGGCTTTTGCATGTTATTAGATAGCCACCTATTCTGAAAAGACTTTGTAGACCTCCAGCACTCTGAGAGAGCCAGCCATCATCTGTCCATTGGTGGTTGCTTACCTTAATAAATCTGTAAGACCATGATGACTATCATACAGATAGTCGAATGCTACCATCAGCATCATAATCATGCAACAGTTTAGACCTCTTTTTTTGTCATTATTTTTTGGAAGAAGGGGTGTGTGTAAGCATGGCTGAGTTAGTAAGATTATTTGGCAAAGAGTGGCATTGGCCAAAGTGAAGGAATGAGCTATTACGTATATCCCTTTACAGTTAATGTATGTGTTTATATTTATAGTGAGGGTCTTTTTGCAGCTAACATTGTCAAGCCCCATTTTATACTGTTTTTTACTTAGTGTATTTATATCATTCACATTCAAAGTGATTGTTAATATATTCACTGATGTTAACTTAATTTCTACTTATAACAACCTTGTAAGACAGAGTAGAAATGCCCCACAGGGTTTCCAATGCTGCAAATCTTTACACAATCTGACTAACTCCTCTTTTCCCCATAGAGCTACCTTTCAGTTAGCAATCTACTGCTAAATCTCTTGTGCCACTAGGGCTTCTTAATATTGATATAACTGGTTTAATATCTGTTATTTTGTAACTATTTTGCATTTGTTGCTCTTATTTTTGTTTCTTTGTTTATGTGATTTTTAATTGAGTATTTTATATGATTTTGTATTTTCTCCTGTCAACATATCTATAATTTTTTCCCTTAAGCATTTTTTGTTTTACTAATTGCCCTGGAGTGTGTAATATACATTATAATGCAAGTAATTGATATTTACATTCAAATGACACTATAGATTTTCTTGGAGGTTCCTGGTTGGCGGTTCCAATTTCCCCTTCTTATGCCTTATAACACTACTGTCATTTATGTCACTTATTTTTAAAACAGAACCATCAGTAACATTATTGCTATTATTATCTTGAACAAACTGTTGTCTACTAGATCAAATAAGAGTAGCAAAAATAAAATATTTGATCATACCTTTATTTCATCTCTAATACTCCTTCAAGAAAGATGAAATCTTTGGCAATTTCCATCTTTTCTCCATTTATCGTATGACTATCGGTCCGGCTGTAAGGATTTTTGTTTTCTGTTCATTGCGTGGTAATCCATATTGAAGGCTGCACTCCTCAATC